GAAGAAGGTGAGGTTTTGGTCTGATTCTGAGCTCCGAGTATGGACAAAGTACGGCGTCAATTTGAAATTCTTAAAGTCACGATTCTTTGGGCGTGATGATAGTTAGGAAGTACCCTGTGCTGCTGGTAAACGAGGAAAATAAATGCTACCTCTTGACCAGAATGACCCATTTCTATAAACAACCTCCATACTTAGAACAGTTCTGGGTAAGGGCGATTGGAGAAGAGGTTGGGTGTACCGTAACCATTATCTTACTTAGTTGAACTTACGGCTTGTAGGGAAGACATCCATAGGTTAGAAAGCCAGGGGTGCTATAAGATGTACTCAGCGGCTTACAGCAAGTAGGCTCCCTCGTAAAATATTAACCGAACTTCTGAAATGTGTTTTTTATCCTATATGATTACTAAAGTGGTGCTGTAACTTTACTGATCGTGCAACGTAACCATGGGATGCTGTGATCACGACAGGATGCCGGATTAAGAAATAAAACTTATTTCGGGTCGCTTTCAAAATTTAAAGGCAGTAAAAATGACTATATAAGTAGTAACAATTCCCCGTTAATTGCAATGCCCTCATAAGTTAAAATATACTTCACAGAAGACATGCACAAAAGGTATTCTTACCTACATTGGTTTGACAGCGCAGTACATGTTCTTAGAATTTTACACAGCAGGAAAGAATATCGTTCGCTTATAAAAAACTCTTAATCGTGAGCTTTTGCTGGACCGTAAAATGTCAATTCATGGACAATTATTGTTTCTTACCAAGTTTACAATATAGTCAACATCCAATGCAAAAGATTTTGATTCCCATATGATATCTTCCTAAAAATATAGAGACATTTTTTTCTAAATTTCTCTAGACAGAATGTATGCGGCTTGTACTTTGGAAACTCTGAATACAAGTGTAATACTGGTCGGCTTCAAAATTATTTCGGTATTAACTTTTTCTATAAAGTCGGCGGATGTCCCTTTTTAAGTCTAAAATCGGGAAGTGACGCAAAGATTGTATTAGTACATAGGTGTGCTCCGATCTGGTCTAGGATTCACCAACCCTGGCTTGTTTCGTCTGGCGAGGCGTTGGCAGTTCAACTTTTTCTCAAGAACGAAACAATTATGTTACTCGCTAAGTTTAAGTAACCAATGTTTTACCGGCAAACGTTAGAACTGCGAGATACGCGTATTTCTGGCTCATTAGCCGTCATCAGCCGCAGTTACCCGACTCCAGTATAGCCAAGGAAACGGCCGCTACACTCGAGTTTCGAACCCGCGACCAGTGAGCTAGAGACGAACGTCCTATGCACTGAGCCACCGGGTCAACGTCTTGCCGGTTTTCGATCGGGATGTAGAATAGTACATAGTGTTTAGCGGCTACATAGTGTAGCGGCAGTTTCTGTGGCTATACTGGAGTCGGATAACTGCGGCTGATCACGGCTAATGAGCCAGAAGTACGCGTATCTCGCAGTCCTAACGTTTGCCGGTAATACATTGGTTATAATCAGGTATATTTTATGCGTGTTTTCTATAAAATATATTTGAATTTAGAAAGGCATTGGTAAAAGACGCCTTACTTGGGTTGTCATTGTTTGCAGTTTATCGTTCTTGCAGCGACCGAAAATAGCTTCTTTCAAAAGCCAGCATCATGCCCTGACTGAAATATCCCGGTATTAAGAGAATTAATTTTACAACATTACTAAAGTAATCCCTCCCATTTGAAAAAATAATTTCCGAAATTTTGGTTATTATTTCATCAGATAGTAAGTCTACTGAAATTAAATCATAAATTAAATGGTGGCTTTGTTTTAACTAATAGTACCGGTTACTCTAACTTGGAGAAGTAAACACTATTAGGACAAATTGTTGTAATCTTCGTGGCACAGAAACCAAGTTATGGCCTTTTTGACTTTTGCAGACATTTGACAGGCCACAAATTCTACCTAACCTGGCAGTTAGCGAGGCCGAACAGATGGAAAGTACGAACAACATGCTTTTTTCTTCCAGTCTCCTTGCCAACGTCTCTAGAACCCACCTCTATGGACTCACAAGACAACAATGTGCCAGCAGTTTCCGCATGCTCTGCTGTGGATTATGCTCCCTTATGAGCAAAGTTTGTTTCCCTTTTCCTTACCCTCTAAGATCTTTCTTGTCTATAAATTCTACTTTGATGCAGGTATTGTGATCATTGTTCACCTCCTCCTGTTCTCAAAGTTAGCTTTTGATGGCTTTTGCCGTTTCCGCTGGTTCAGTGTACTGGCCCATCGTGTAAACTGGATTCTGACTGTGATCCTTAGATATATATTGAAATTCGGAACGAAAAAGTCACTAAACATCAGTACTTGTGTCAGTTACTCACCTGTCTACTTTTACCCTGTACTACCTACTTAATCTCTGAACTTCTTTTTTCCAAAATTTTCAAACAAATGGACGGCACTTTGGACATACTGATCCAGTTGTCTTAAGAGTTCTTGTAAGCCCGTTGTCAGTTGTCATGAATGAGAACGTTATTCAAAGGTACGGTAATGACTTTCTCTATTTTATTAGTTTCCGAAGTTCTTCTTCGATGAGTACCACGCACTCACGTTCTCAGTTTGTTACGTCCTCCTCCCATTCTGCTCTTCTCCTCTGCCGAAAATCCGCGCCATGGTTACAGCCGTATTTTATCAGATGTTCAGGCAGTGTTACCTACTACACAAGGTAAAACGAATCAATATGCCTTAGTTCTCTTTTCCCCTAACTGACTGTGTTGTCTTTCATGGTAATGAATTATCTGATTCTAATACATCCGCCGGAAAGTTGAAACCAGCCTGCACCCAAGAACCTACAGTTACACAGCAAAGACTTTGAAGATTATCACCGTCAATGACCGCTTTCAGCTAACTAGTCATCGTCAGGCCGTCGTACCCAACCTTGTATCATTATGGAAAATGAGCAACACATTAACGTAAGTCTACAGAAGACATTAAGAATAGTCGCATGATATCACATTATCCTAGTCACTATGTGATGGTCTGGTGAGTTTACGTTGTGAGCTTTTGCGTAAAGGGAACTTAAT